ATGTTAGTTATAATTATTTAGGGTTTCCACAGGATTTTAGTGTATTGCTAAAAAACCTTTTACTATAGTACATGGTCATGAGAAAATTTCACCTAAAATGAAAAGGATAAAATTCTCTATTTTTATAATTTTTTTCTGATACATATACATGTTTTTATGTTGTTGTAGCAAGTTTGAGATGATTCCAACAAAAATTAGATTTTTATGAATTTTAAAATTTACTCAAAAATCGGGCAGAAGTCCCTGTACTATAGTACAGGGTCTTTGGCCAAATTTCGCCAAAAATGAAAAGGAGAAAATTCTCAATTCTTATAATTTTTTCTGATACATATACATGTTTTTATGCTGTGTAGCAAGTTTGAGATGATTCCGACAAAAATTAGATTTTTTATAAATTTTAAAATTTACTCAAAAATAGGGCAGAAGTCCCTGTACTATAGTACAGGGTCTTTGGCCAAATTTCGCCAAAAATGAAAAGGAGAAAATTCTCAATTCTTATAATTTTTTCTGATACATATACATGTTTTTATGCTGTGTAGCAAGTTTGAGATGATTCCGACAAAAATTATATTTTTTATAAATTTTAAAATTTACTCAAAAATAGGGCAGAAGTCCCTGTACTATAGTACAGGGTCTTTGGCCAAATTTCGCCAAAAATGAAAAGGAGAAAATTCTCAATTCTTATAATTTTTTCTGATACATATACATGTTTTTATGCTGTGTAGCAAGTTTGAGATGATTCCGACAAAAATTAGATTTTTTATGAATTTTAAAATTTAATCAAAAATCAGGCCGTAGTACAGGGTCTTTGGCCAAATTTTGCCAAAAATGAGAAGGAGAAATTCTCAATTTTTATAATTTTTTCTGATACATAGTCATGTTTTTATGCTGTGTAGCAAGTTTGAGTTGATTCCGGTCAGAATTGGATTTTTTACAATTTTTAACCATACAATACATGTACATGTATATAATACATGTACATGTATGTAGTGCTCGTGAAGCTCATGCTGTTTAGCTCACTTAGCATGCTTTGTTGGAAACCCTGGCTATTTTCTAATTATTATTTAAATTAATGTTAATTTTAAAATTATATTTTATTTTTTACTTTATTAGCAATCAGTCCAATAAGAGTTCCATTAGAATTAGCTTGTCCTGATACCACATTTACAAAATGATGAATGTATTGTGATACTGATTTAGTGCAAATAAGCTTGGGCTCTCTATAAAATAAATAATAAAACAAACAGATATACATGTACATGTACGTGTACATGTATGTATATGTACATGTACATGTATAAAGCTTAAAATATCCGTTATTATACAGTACCTTCGTTTGAGGTCAAACACTTTAAAATTTCCGTCAGCAAAAGATATCACCAAATGATGTCCGGACACTCTTAAATTAGCCCCACCCACTTCATTAATATCCAGTGACAACTTATTCTTCAAAACACCCTAATATAAATAATTTTTACACGTAAAATTTTTATATTAATATCTTGGTGATACAGTAATATTAATTATTAAAATAATGTTGATAATAATATCTCAGTAATACATGTGCATTATGGTGTTAAAAATAAAGCTGATATTAATATCTCTGTGATAAAGTATTAATTAAAAACACATTAAAAATACTGTAGAGTGCCTTTTTTTCAAGGGCTGCGGATTTCATGATTTTTTGAAGATTCGCAAAAAATCACTTGCCCAAAGTCAAATTAATACAGTATAAGACGGCATAAATCCACAAAAATTAAATTTGCAAAAATAGATTTTAAAGCAAATTTGCAAAATTTACAGCCCTCGAAAAGAAGGCGTCCTACAGCATCTTACCACTACACTGTGAATGCAGAGCTCTCCATCTTGGACAGTATAGACATTAGTCTCGTATAAAACAACTGATCTAGCCGATGAATTAAAACAACCTGAAATTAACAAAAATAAAATAAAATAAAAATAATACCGTAAATGTTCAAATAAAAGCCCGGGCATTTATTTCTTTCCAGGGCAAAAAATAGCGTAAAATAAAAAAGAAAAAGTAAAAATGGGATTTGAACCCAGAACTCTAAATTTAATGCACTCAGCTTAACAAGTTAGGCCATTTGGGACACTCTAAAGGTTGTGGTACTTCTATTGAGTAAAATATGCGTATTTATACTTGGAGATTCTTAGTACCAGGCATTCATTCAAGCCTGGCCTTTACTTGAACATTTATGGTACTCTAATATACATATTAGATCCCTTACCAATAAAATTATAGTTTCCTTTATTAAAAGCTAAAGAGTAGAGGTATACTTTGGCTCCATCCCAAAGTGCTATATGATCAGGGGACAGAGTTAGGCCACTGATCATGACATCAGTTGACATTCTAATGAGAGCAGGGCTTGAATGAGACTGGACTACAACACTGTTGACTGTCAGTTGTACTGCTGATACCTGTAGAGTATGATGCCATAAAAGTGGAATATTCTAAAGTAACTTTAATTTTATGATAAAAAAGGGTAAAATTAAAACCAGTTAATTTTTTGTAAGTTCTATTAATCTATAGTAGCTCATGGGTAAGCTGTAAAATTAAAAACACGTAATAATTTTAAAATTAAATAATAAAGGCAGTGAAATATTGTGACAGAAGCAAGTACATGTACTGTACAAATAGAATATGGGAAAATATAGAAATAATAGATATGTATAATTCAAGTATCTCTTTACCTCTTCACAATAGTGAGACGACACTGCGTGTTCTTTGTGAATATTCACACTGGTCCCATTACAGGTAGCTAGCAAATGTTTACCGGAACCCCACTGGGGGATAAATATAAAATCACCAGACAACACACTAAAATAACATACTGATATACAGCTGACCGGCCCCTTGGCAATAATGAATGTGTTCAGGTCCCATTGGCTGGTCTCTTCATTTCTGGACCATATGAGAGACTTTCCTTTATTAGTAACTGCAAGTAATAAACCTACAGTAGAGGAAACAACTAAACAATGCTATCAATCAGAAAATGTAATGGTAAATTCTCTTAGCCATTTTTGATAAAATGGGCAACTTTAAAAATTCGTAAAAAATCCAATTTTGATTGGAATCAGCTCAAACTTTCTACGCAACATAAGTACATGTGTATACATGTATATATCAGAAAAAAATTATAAAATGAAAAATTCTCTTCAATTTCTGGTAAAATTTGGCCAATGACCCTGTACTATAGTACAGCCGATCTTGGAGCAGCTTTTAAAATCCATATATTATACTATTACTACTATTTAATACTATTACAGTACATACTGTACGTACCATTATTAGCATCATATTTGATGCTGCAGACAATATCCATTTCATTATCATCCATTTGACAATAATCCTTCAGCAACAACGAATAATTATCATTCTCAATTGTATCCCAAAATCTGCAGAAAGAAAGAGAGAGAGAGAGAGAGAGAGAGAGAGTAAAAAGAAAAGAGAGAGGAGAAGAAGAAGTACATCTATGTTATCATACATGTGCATGTACCTAATGGCCGGCTCTTGTGAGCAAGTGGCCAGCACTCCAGGCAGTGTCCATATCATATTAGAAACAGGACCATCTCCTGATATCATTGCCTGGAG